GTAGGTTTTATAGTGATGAATGGTTGAACGGGAATGCCACACGAATTGGTCCACATAAGGATGCTGAAATATCACATGAAAGGCAAAAGTGTTTTAAAAGATTGTTTCCCAATGGTGAAGATCTTCGAAAAGTTATGGAGGAGTATGCATTATTGTCGATGAGGTTGGTCCGTTTGGAGACTTATCATCCCTTACAACGATGTTTACTATGGAGCCTAAAGTTGGTGGGTTAACTTTGGTGCCGATGCTCCTCACTTACAGTCATTGGCTTTTAAGTTGCTTGGACAGCCTACTTCATCTTCTTGTGCTGAGCGCAACTGGAGTACCTACGGATTTATTCAGTCACTGAGAAGGAACAGATTGTTACCAAGTCGCGCTCAAGACTTGGTTTTCATCCACAACAATCTACGCCTTTTATCAAGAAATTCTTCTTAGTATGAAGATGAGAAGACTAAGATGTGGGATGTTGGTGGAGATTCCTCTGATCCATTGGAAGATGGAGGATTTTTGGATTTTTCTAAACTCTCTCTAGATGAGCCAGACTTTGAAGACGAGTTTCTCAATCATAATTAACTAGCTTATTTTTTCGTTTAAGATGTTAAACTAGATTTTTTCTTCTTATGTTTTGATTTACATGAAACTTATTTCTATATAAGTACTTTCGCTTATACTATATTGTCGTACCCGCTTCCCTATATTTTTGACTTTTGCCGTTTTCCGTCCCCATTTTCGTCTCGGTGCAACTTAGATGTTCATGTAAACCAAATTTGGGTTAAGTTTGTATTTTTTCATGGTCAAATCATGTGTATTGCCTCATTTTGTTTTCTTATATCTCGATTCTTGAATTTGCGAACTTTTTATGTTCTTGGTATAAACTCTGAATCATGACTTTTTGGAATAAAACTAACTTAGGATGATTAACTAGATGAACCAAGCTATAGATACATGAGTTCATGAAATATGTTATAGTTTTCACAATATCTTACCTAAAAGTGTATAAGTTCTAAAGTATATAATCGCCCAAAAAAAAACGAAAGGTAAATGCCAAAAAGGGA